AGATCCTTCCTAAAAGCCTACTGTTCTAATACAATTTTTGCTTTTTTCCCAAAAAAACTCTTGCTGAACTTTATTCAATATAATTTCGTACTTAATTATTCTCAAATTGTTTCTTGGTTTAAAAGTGAATCTCTCATATGTAATGAGCTGCTTATCCACCCTCCATCTCAATGCTTTATTGGATGTTAGGAACATTACAGGTGTACAGTACATTCTGATACCCTGATTTATAAAGATAAGATCCTTTCATTACATTGCAGGCTTCTTCAAAAGATATAATAGACTTATAGCCTCAAATTCATATACATACTTTGAATCATGTAAGACATAGAAGTAAGTACAAGGAAATGAATGCATTTACTTAGATGACCTTTGAGATCTAGAGGTCCTTGTTAGTAGTTCAGAAGTTGGGGCACTGGATTGAGGCTGATGATAGGTTCAGCTGCCAGCTCCAACGGAAGCTGTGCAGATTGTCCCCAGGGGCTTCCTTGGTAATGCAAGTCTATGACACAAATTAGAGGGTGGTTGTTTTTCAGAAGGAGACACTCCAAAATTCTTTAAGTTATTTCTTTATTCATTTATATGCTTATTTATAGACCCTTAAATTATAATTTGTCTGAAGAGGCAAAAGAAAGTTCCAGCAAAACATTTTTCCAATTTAAGAGACTAAGCAATGAAGGAAAAATATTTCGGAAACATTACTATGTCAGTGAGAAATTTACTCTGAAATAGCTTACATGGTATAATTTAGGGAACATGTCTATAGGTAAGACTAGACGCACCTAAACAGATAAAACCACATTACAGATCAAATGGGAGTGGGCATTTGTGCAAGAGCAACTGGCCAATAAAACTTGTATTTAGGACTCATGCCTAGTCCTTGTTGAGTGTTCTTTTTGCAGAAGGTACATTGCATGGTTAGTACACATCTGGGTGATCAGGAGTCCTTGTTCTGTAGTCCACAGTTAACTATACCCTTCATACATTTTTTAACTCTCTCTGATCTTTAACCTTCTGTGAAAGAAAAATGTTGTACTATCTCTCTAAGCCCTAAAAGTCTATAAATATATAAATTATTTAATATGTTTAATGTGCTTGGTGGCTTTTTGAATTTGAGATGAAACCTTTTCAAACTAAAAATTTAAAAATCCAGTATAAAATTTTTTTGCATCACCTAACTCCTTGTTCTTCCTGGAGAGAACTGCATTCATAGTGGTGTCCTGCTAACCTTAGGAGAGCACTTGGCTTTGGATCACATCGGAATTATCTGCTCTCAGCCCCAGCCCTTGACTTCTAGCTGTAATAAACTTGTTCTACTAGTGATACAGCTAGTAACACAAACAAAGCAATTAGAGATTTCAGTTATAAAAACAGGAACAGCTGAAATAAAAGCAATCCTTTTATTTAAAACTGTTTACAAGCTTTACTATATAACAGAGTTCACTAAGGTTTTGGTAACATTATTAAGGATATATCCAAAAAAATTGCAAAGTTAGCAAGCTTCTTTTGGAACTTGAGTGAAGTTCATTAGTAAAAGTGAGTGGATTATGAAAATTTTAATGCAAAAATTATTCACAAGAGATAACAGCCAAGTCTCACAGGAATTTAGATCTGTCACCCCTGATTCCAACCCCAGCAGTGTGTATGTGTGTGTTATTAAGCCTTCTTAAAGCTTTTCTGAGTGATGTTTAACAAGAAGAAAGTTGCTGGTTCTAAATATGTGAATGATGGCTATTAGAAGTTACTCTATCTAAAATAAGTTTTATTCAGAACTTGGACATTTGCATAATAACATTGATGAAACTACAATTCTAAGTCAACCTAGAATCTTGTAGAGTTGACATTAATTTCAGACATGGTATTTGCTCAGCTTCCAATGCTCAGAGGGGAAGATAAAAATATATAGAGGCAGTGGAATTCATACCCAGACCTACCTGACCCAGAGCTCTTGCCTCTCCACCACAGCACAATGCCACCTTCTGTAGAGTAGGCACTTTACGGAGTACACGTTGAAAGAAGTCACTAATCTAGAAAAAGTCCAAATTCTCAACAATTTATCCTTGAGATTACAGAATCCCTGTGCTATTGCCGATTCTCAGTACTTTATACAGTGTCTGATACACCAAAGTGCTCAATATTTATTGAATTAATAAATGTGTAAAAGTGCTTCTGTTTTGTTTCTGTTAACACAGAATATGTATTTTCACTAATTTAATTGAATTGTGACTATAGCTACAAAGTGCCTATTGGTCTTCTGTGTAATTGCATTAATTTTAGTTGCTGATCATAAAACTGCTTTTCATTTAGGTGAGAAGAGTTTGGGGGACTTTTAAGCTCTTTATGCCATTATTTCAAGCATGGAATATTTAAAACCTGAACGTTTTTCCAGATTAACTGCTAGCTTTCATACTACTGGATTCCTATTTGGAAAGAAACTTTTAGTTTCTATCTAGTCAAACTTAACCTCCTGCTGCTTAAATATACATTACCACCATCACAACTGCCACTGTTAATTTCCATAGTTACCACATGCCAAGTGCTATATATTTTACACATTGCTTCTATGAATCCTCATGTTTGATATGTTACTTGAGATATCATTGTCCTTACTTTGACAGTTTGAGGAATTTGGAGTCAGTGAGGATAAACAAGTTGCTAGGGTGGCAAAGCTAGATTGGAACTCCGTCCGGTTTGTTTAATCTAAAGCCTGTTTTGCACACCGCACTGCAGACATTCTGTCTCTGCTTCCAGCCAGGGCACTCAGTGTCTTCTGAACGAGTTTGTCTCCTTCTTGAACAACTCTTACTACTGGAAACTTTCAACACACACACACATGTGTGTGTGTGTGTGTGTGTGTGTTTAAACAACTCAACTACTGGAAACTTTCAATGTGTGTGTTTGTGTATGTTTTCCCCCACTCCATGAATAAGGTTTTGTTTCTGTTTGGATTTGTTTATAATTGTATTTGTTATGTAATTGCACATCTTATGTGTGTCTTCTTGACTTTCCATCCTGAAAACCTTTCTTATTATCTTCTATAGTCTTCATACATACATATAATTTTCAAAGACAACATGACTGAATTTTAGGGAGTGGGTTTACCTCAGCTTGCTTACAACTAACTCCCTTATTACTGGGCATTTCAAATTATAAATAATAGATTGGTGAATATCTTTGTACATACATTGCTTTTTGTATTTAGGTACATGCTGAGCATGAGTCCTCAGTTTTAGTACAAATATCAGAGTTATAGAAGAATGAAATAGTATACCTACTTGAAATACTTGGTCTGGCTTACAGAAAAGGTATAAAGCGGTTGCAATTTTAAGGTAGTAGGTCTCATTATAAGCCACCCTCATTTCAGCAGATGCACATCCCTGGCTCTGCAATTCTACCTCTTTAGACAGGAAAGACAGACAGGGAAGAAACTGGAAGGAGGCGGATAGGTCTTCAGGTAGTGGGGGAAAGGGATATGTGATCTGCATGTGATCTGTGACAGATAAAGAGCAACTGGAAGTAAGTAAACTTCACTCTCTTAATTACTACACCAGGGATTGAAGGGTTTGAGGACTGAAGAGTGAACATTTTATTTCTCTGAACAGCTTGTTGAATGTTCTTTTTATGTTCAGTCAAATCGTGTAGGAGCTTGTTTTTAAGTAGAAGATAGATTCTGAAGTTTTATGTGTACAGACTAAAAATTGAGGCTAAAATTGGATCTTGTTTTAGCTTTGTAATATAATTGGTAGGACTTTCAGTGCTTTTAATATTTTCCTCTCCTTCTTTATCCAAAGTCAACTCCCTACATTAAAAATACTTATTACAGTGTCTCCCAGATGTTAAATGAAGAAAATTAGTTGCAAAAAGGTGTATATGATATGATACCATTTAGGTTAAAAAAAAAACAGAACAAAAGCAAAACTATGTGCCTGGCACATGTAGGTAGTCAGTATCTGTTGACTCTGTACGTATACATATAAACAGTTCCAAAGATAAGTAATCCATTATGTTGGGAGAGGTTATATCAGACAAGAGGTACACACCCTAAGGTGTGTATTTGGTATACTTTTATGTTTGAAGTTTTGCATTGAGCATGTGTTACTTTAGTGGACTTTTTTTAATGATTAAAAAAATGAAGAAAAATGTATAGTCTAAGGATACCTCTTTTCCACATAGATCCACAGTTTCTTTAAATCTTAAAGTGCATGTTGAACAATGTAAGACAGATATTCTGACTGTACTGAATTATTGCTTCTCCAGTCGTCAAGAAAAGCGTTGATCAAACCTGTTTGCTTGATGCCATTTCAATATAATCTAATAAGCTTTTTTAAATAGAGTTTTATATGGAAATCTTCAAACATGCAAAAATATAATTATACAAATATCCCAGCTCCAGTAGTTATCAACATATGGCCAATCTTGTATCATGTATAGCCATCCACTCCCACTGCACTGGATCATTTTCAAACATATATATATCATCTTAACTATAAATAAGTTGGCATGTATATTTAAAAGACAAGGACTCTTCTTAACACAACCAAAATACCCTCATCACACTTAAAAATGAGCAATAATTCCTTAATTTCAGTCATCTAAGAAGTTAATATTTGGCAATACAGTTACTAGCTTTCAGTTTAAGTTGCTATTTTATTTAGTTCCATTGTATCTTATAAGTACTTCTAAACTAGTATCTTTTTTCCTTTCATATTTACTATACCTTTTTCTCCCTAGAATTGTGATGAAGTCAAAATGATGGCTTTTGCTTTTAGATACCTTGGCTTGTATTTCTTAAAATGAGAAGCTTAAAGAAATGGCTAGGAATCTTTGTCTTCAAATTTAAAAAATGATTCAGGTATATAGAGTTTTGTTATGTCAAATGGAAAACTATTCAGATTGTGATTATAATAGCAAAGTCACACAAGTCTCAGATCATGGTCAAAATTATTCTTGAAGTGATTTTCTGATATCTTGTCTGACTTTAATATTTTTGTTTTACATAGGTCTCTAATTAATAGAAGATGGCAAAGCCCAGCCACAGCAGCTACGTCCTTCAGCAGCTAAACAACCAAAGGGAATGGGGTTTTCTCTGTGACTGTTGCATTGCAATTGATGACATTTACTTTCAAGCACACAAAGCGGTTCTAGCTGCCTGTAGCTCCTATTTTAGAATGTTTTTCATGAACCATCAGCATAGTACTGCACAACTAAATCTCAGCAACATGAAAATTAGTGCTGAGTGTTTTGATCTCATTTTGCAATTTATGTATTTAGGAAAAATTATGACAGCCCCCTCCAGTTTTGAGCAGTTTAAAGTGGCAATGAACTACCTACAGCTGTACAATGTTCCTGACTGCTTAGAAGATATACAGGATGCAGATTGTTCTAGTTCAAAATGTTCATCTTCTGCTTCCAGCAAACAGAACAGCAAAATGATATTTGGGGTAAGAATGTATGAAGACACTGTGGCTAGAAATGGCAGTGAAGCCAATAGGTGGTGTACAGAACCAAGTTCAACAGTAAATACACCACATAACAGAGAGCCTGATGAAGAATCCTTACAGTTAGGTAGTTTTCCTGAACCACTATTTGATGTGTGTAAAAAAAGTTCTGTGTCCAAATTATCTACTCCAAAAGAACGTGTGTCGCGACGCTTTGGACGGAGCTTTACCTGTGACAGCTGTGGATTTGGCTTTAGCTGTGAAAAATTACTAGACGAGCATGTGCTAACCTGTACTAACAGACACTCATACCAAAACACGAGATCTTATCACAGGATAGTAGATATAAGAGATGGAAAGGAGAGTAATATCAAAGCTGAATTTGGTGAAAAGGATTCTTCTAAAACATTTTCTACACAGTCGGACAAATACAGAGGAGACACAAGCCAGGCTGCTGATGATTCAGCTTCTCCCACTGGAAGCAGAAAAAGTAGCACAGTGGAGTCCGAACTAGCCAGTGAAGAAAAAAGCAGAGCTGCTGAGCGGAAAAGAATCATTATTAAGATGGAGCCAGAAGATATTCCTACAGATGAACTGAAAGACTTTAATATTATTAAAGTTACTGATAAAGACTGTAATGAATCCACTGACAATGATGAATTAGAAGATGAACCTGAAGAGCCCTTTTATAGATACTATGTTGAAGAAGATCTTGGTGTTAAAAAAAATGGTAGGAAAACTCTCAAACCTAGGATGTCCATAAATGCTGATGAAAGAGGTAGTTTAGAAAATATGAGGCCCCCTAGCAACAGCAGTCCAGCACAAGAGGATACTGAAAATGCATCCTGTGAGCTGTGTGGACTCACAATAACAGAAGAGGACCTGTCATCTCATTACCTAGCCAAACACATTGAAAATATCTGTGCATGTGGTAAATGTGGACAGATACTTGTTAAAGGCAGACAACTTCAGGAACATGCTCAAAGATGTGGAGAACCCCAAGATCTGACAATGAATGGGTTAGGAAATACTGAGGAGAAAATGGACATGGAAGAGAATCCTGATGAGCAGTCTGAAATAAGAGATATGTTTGTTGAAATGTTGGATGATTTTAGGGACAATCATTTCCAGATAAACAGTATCCAAAAAAAGCAGTTATTTAAACATTCTGCATGTCCTTTTCGATGCCCTAATTGTGGCCAGCGTTTTGAAACTGAAAATCTAGTGGTGGAACATATGTCTAGCTGCCTAGACCAAGATATGTTTAAGAGTGCCATCATGGAAGAAAATGAAAGAGATCACAGACGAAAGCATTTTTGTAATCTGTGTGGAAAAGGATTTTATCAGCGGTGTCACTTAAGAGAACACTATACTGTTCATACTAAGGAAAAACAGTTTGTTTGTCAGACATGCGGAAAGCAGTTTTTAAGAGAACGTCAGTTGCGACTGCACAATGACATGCACAAAGGCATGGCCAGGTATGTCTGTTCCATTTGTGATCAAGGAAACTTCAGAAAACATGACCATGTACGGCATATGATTTCTCATTTGTCTGCTGGTGAGACGATATGCCAGGTCTGCTTTCAGATATTCCCAAATAATGAACAATTGGAACAGCACATGGATGTTCATCTGTATACATGTGGAATATGTGGAGCAAAATTTAATTTGAGGAAAGATATGAGATCACATTATAATGCTAAGCATTTGAAAAGAACATAAGTGATTTTCTACTGTACTAATGTTTAGTTGATAGCAGACAAGCACCAAAGCAAATATGAGCTATTTAGAAATTGATTTTATAAGATGAATTGTTGGAAAAAAATTTCAAGGCCCTTTTACCTTTTAATATTTTTGTTTAGGATCTTAAGTATTTACATTTTAGGTGTAATTAAATGTTCTATCATTTTTGTTATTTCTCATTAGAGTTCTTTGTTTTTAGTTTGTTTTAGCTATGATTAAAATTACTTATAAATATAGATTACAAGTCGTTGTTACCCCTTCAGTGACTATTAAACTTTAGTTTATCAATAAGGTGATACCTTCAATATTGCTATGTGTTTTTTTTTTTAAAGGTTATCCTGTGAAATTTTAAACCTGTCATTGGCCATTCCTGTTTATTTAAAAGAGAGAATGTTTTAAGTAATTAGTTATCTGAAACTATCCCTTTCATCGTTAGCTTTTTTTGTAAGTTGAACAGTGGTCTAGCCACTGTTTATTTCCCCTTCTTATCAATGAAATCCTTTTCTTAAGTTGACAAGCTTATTAGGCAGGTTAGGTGCACTGAATCTAACCTTGAAGGTTGACATGGGCTCAAAGTTGGCCTAAAAAAATTGATGGACATAAGGAAATTGCTATAAATGAATATTTCCTATAACTGATAAAATATTATCATTTAATAATCACATTTAAAACTTATATTAAGTGTAAAACCCAATGACTTTACCCCACTTGAGAAGTTGGTACAAGTCATTTTGTTTTGTGATATTAAATTTAACTATGATAGTTAATTAAAAAGACATGTATTCATTTAAAATAATTTAAAATATTCTGATTTCTAAAGTGTGTTTATCAATTATTTTTGTTTATAAATAGACTTTAATATCTCTCTAGGAATATGAAATCTGAAGAAAAGTGATTTTCACCTTTAAAATTACTTTTGGAACTTAAGTTTGAAATTTGAGAAAGCTGCCATGTATATTGATAAATCTAATAAAATAAAGAAATCAATTACAAATCTGGTTGTTTTATAAAAGTAGAGTGTGCAAAAAAAATGTCTTGTGTTTTATACTATCTAAGATTTGGAGCAAATGTGTAGTGGCAAATAAAGCAGTTTATCACCATGCTTTATTATTTTTTTCTGTAAAGGATTTATAAAATCTGAGGATTATAAAATAATTACATAACATATAAATGGGAACAGCTTACCAGTTTTTTATATAGTTAAAATAGTATTACTGTTAGTTGTTGCTGACACAGGGTCTACATGAATTACATGTGAATTAAAACACTGGCAAAACTGACCCACCAATAAACACATCTATTGAATGCCTTTTAATGTGAATTTCACTTCCACTGGAATATCCTTCTCATAATGAAAGGGATTTTAAATAACTCCAATATTTAAAAATGCAATTTTGTGATTATGAACAGCAATTTAACAGTGTTGTTCTTTTTGTTTACATCAAATTTTTAAGACATGCAAGTCTATGGTATAAAATTTGCGTAAAAGAACGAGTTGCCAAGAGGATTGATAAACATATTGAGTAGAAAAGATTTAGTTGAAAGAGAAGTAAGTATTAATACATTGTTAGCTCAGAGATTTGTGGGCATGTGCTGAGGTGTTAAGGAAGGATAGAAATAGTACAGGAACCATGTGGTATTAAAGCAAAGTAATGAAAAGTAGAAATGCACAAAAGATAAATGAAAAATTAGGAATTTTTTTAAAGCCACACATGGAAAAAGCAGGAAACATGATTCATCTTAGTCTTGGATACAGTAGTTTATCATGTAATTAAATCTGAAATGCAACTTAAAGTGAAATATGGTATATACATTACTGATAAGAACCTGATAAAAGTACTGCAACAAACCCAGAGATCCATCAGAGTGTAGTGTGAGGAGATAAAGATCAATCAAATTTCCAAACTATATTTGGTATCTTAGTTGACATTTTCTTTGGGATCACTTTTTTTTCCATGACCTTCATCAAATTCTATTGCAATGGCTTTCCCACCATTAAAGAACAGAATTCTTTCTGAATATTACCACTCTGTAAAAGGATTGTCCCATTTAGGAAAGGGAGCTTAATGTATTGTTTTGACGCGTACTAACAGTCAACAATTAGCATGTAAATATATACACATTAAGCATAATCTTTGATTTTTACGGAGATGTTTATAGTTTTACAAAGCCACACCTCATAATGTTGTCTACCAGTTCATGCTACACAGGACAGAGACCTTTTGTTTTGGAACTAGCTACATGCCAGCTCAGGCTTAAGTATAATGTACAATTTTCCTTATTAAAGCAAAGAGTGCATTTTAAGGCTACTTGCCCTTTAAACAAGGGGGAATGAAAAATATTCAATACTCTCCAACCCAGGTGCCTCTCTCTTCCTGGGGTGGAGCTACAGAGCTGAACTTAGTACTGTGGCTTCTTGACCCCCAGTGCTGAGAAGGCAAAGAATCAAGGTTGTGGAGGCTACCTGCCCCTCCTGCCTTTATAATTTATGTGACAGCTCCAAATCTAAAATTGAAGGGAAATATCTAGATAGATAATGTGGAATCTTGTTTTGCTTTCTCACAAATACAGTCTTGTGTGAAGAGCCTTTTGTCTTCCAGCAAGAAATCCTGGAGGAGTGGAGTCAATGCCTAACAAGCTTGCCACCAATTACAGTGCAATTCAGATGTTTATAATTATTTAGTAAACAGGTCTAAGAATCTCAGAGATTAATAAAGCACAACTATGTGGCAGTGGAGTAGGACTCAGAAATCTGTCTTAATCTCTCCCATATTTTTAAAGTAAAAATATTCAGAGAAATGACTCACATGAATAAAATGGTACAGGGTGAATTTTGAATATGGACAAAAATTAGAATAAATAAGTATTCCAGGGGCTAGTTATAAAATAAGAACAGAGTTTGCTAGGGCAGCCAGAGCACCAACTAAAGGGAAAAATAATAGGTTGACATGAAAAAATACTTAAGTGCTGTGGTTGAGAACAAAAATAAGATAGCAAAAGTTGAATTAAAAGCATTCAAAATTTTCTAGGTGGGATGGGTAGAGATTAATTTGATAGGTTAAAATAATTTGATTAAAATAATTCAATCAGATCTATAGAATACCTAATGAAACAGCTGTTAGGAACATGCCAAGGATATGCCCAAAGACTTGAGATAATATACCAACTTTAACATTCTAAAAAAGTGGGAAAAGAGGCTAGTGGTGGTCGGCAACTTTCTCCCCAGTTAAACACTTGTTCCTCTACATCACTAGTTAAGGAACTTCCATATTAGATCTCTGGAAAATCCCCCAAAGAATCAAACATAAAACTTGTCATTGCTGTTAACCAAAAGCTAAATCAGTACCAACCTAAAGGAAAAAAAAAAAAAATCCTGAATGTGTTTGCACACACATAGTTGCGAATAAAGACATTTGGTATATTTCTTAATTTTAAATGGGTTTTATCCATTAAAAAACTTTTTTTGCCATTAATCTACTTTGGTCAGTTGCGATCTTTCCTCACCTCCTCCTTGTCTTTTGTAACGCTTCTCAGTGATAAATGCCAGTGCTTTGTGGGCACCCTAGTGTCACCAAAGCCTGGGATTCCAGGGTACCCAAAAGCTCTGTGGGAACATATCCTTGTGGAATGTCTCTCATTTCCTCGGATACCTGAGGGGCAATAACGAGCTGACAGGGTGAATGCCAGGGAATTGAAGCAAACAGAGTTAAATTTGGTGTTAAGGACTTTAAGCAGCAGCCTAGATTTGGACACCCGTGATCCATCCATTCTATGGCTCTCATTTAGTAATCCCAGCATCCATTTAGTTACACTTTATACTCTGAGCGCTTTGCATGTGTAATTTTAATCAATCCTCACAGCCTTATGAGGTAAGTATCATTCTTATTTTCCAGATGGACTGAGGTGCAGAGAGTTTTTCCCTCAGATCACACAGAAACTAAATACTAAAGCTGGAATTTGAAACTAGACCTATCTGTTTTCTGCATTCCTGTGCTTAACCACTAAGCTATATACTCCACCTACCAAGAAATACAAGGAAGGGCCTTTCAGTCTAGGACCACATGTGATAAAGCTCCCATGAGACTCTGTGCTTGTGTATCATCTGTCATCTGCTGTACCTAATAAGTAGCTGGTCATAGTGGGTACCTAATAAATATTTTGAATAATATGAAAATATATGAGTTGGAAGCAGAACTTTTTATTTAAATGGGTCATTCAGAATGATGTTTTAGAAATTACTAACATGTTTTGGTTTAAGTTTTTTATTTAAACTTAAAACATTTAGTGATACTGTCAGCCATTTTGGGAGGCCCATTGTAGGTGCTCAATTAAAAATTTGAATTAAACTTCCATATTTCTACCTATGTGATATTTTCACACTGTTTTCCCTATTCCTGACCTTTATGTTCTAATCTCACCAATCACCACTTCCTTTTATAGAATATTAGACTGGTGAGTTGAAAACCTCAAATCATTGGAAAATATTCCCAAGAAAAATCAGGATCCAAGAAAAACCACTTTCCAATTTTTGCCTTGAGATGTGGATAAGGAATTTTTCATTTCACTAGCTAAAAAACAAAACAAAATCCCAAAATTACCATATTGTGATTGATTTGATTATAGAGCAATCCAAGCTTGTCTAAAAATAAAAGTTGGTTATTCTAGCCATTTATAATGCAATTCACCCCAAATGTTTCTGGATTTCTAGTGTAAACATAAAGACAGTCTTAAAGAAATGAAAGATAATTTCAGGAAACAACAGCTGTATATCCACACTAACCTAGCAGCAAATTTGTAAAAAATGAAGTTACTTAATGGTTTAAGGGAAACAATCCCTCTCTCAATCTAATCTGATTTTAACTTCATATATCTACTGCTTTATTTCTTAAACCTACACAATAGGTTTTACTGATACTATGTTAAATCTACTTTAATGATCTCTCTACCGTCTGCCAAATGTGACTTTTAAAATGATAAGAGAATAATATGGTGACAATTCCATGGATAATGTATATATAATCACTTAGGTGTCCCACTTTCATTGGTCTCTATCAAACTCAAGGACATTATACTTGGTAACATGGGTAGTTTCAAACTAAAACCACAGAAAATTTTACTATTTACAAATCATATGCTTGCAAAAGGCAAAAATGCAAGAGTTAGAATGTCTCTGAGTATTGATAAATGCAAATACTAAATGACAACAGCAGCTTGTAAATTCATACTAATTTTGAACCAATTCAATACCACTTACATATATATATGCACATGCTTAGTTGACTTTAGCATTAAGAAGTTTAAATCCTATTTAAGTTGTTCCCTTATATTCAGGAGAACCAAACTATCAAGGTGCATTAGTAGTGACCAAATTGTTCCTTTCTATTAATCCACCACAGATCACTAGGGGGTAGGAAGTCATTATGATTTCTCATTTTATCTTACTCATTTGCTGACAAAAAAGATGGTGTGAAGGTTACAATTCAGTAGTTGGCTCTGAATTGAATGTTCATGAATATACTAATAACCACTGTAATAAGTAAGAAATCAGAGGAAATGCTAAGGCCAAAGGATGACAAAAATGTAAAAGGCATGATTTCATTTCAGAGTCAGAATTTTAATAATTTTATGTGAGGAAATTTGCATAAATCTGTTCTTAACCTAATTGAGAAAGGAATAGAAGTAGGTAGACAGCCTATGAAGCCCAGTTAAGTTTAATTTTAAAAGTTATGTTTTTGTTCTACTTAAACCAATTGCATATACCAATCAGAATCAACAGAGCTCATTCGTAGATGACAGAAATGTAATTCTAAGCACCAGATTATGAAAGACACCTTTTTATTTCAAATGCTTATGTGTTCTCTGATGTGAGAAAAAAAATTTTAAGAGATAGTCTCTTTTTTAAAAAGATTCGGCCAAAGCATTGCTGCGAAAAATAAAATTCTACCTAGAGTCACTGGGGCAGGTTTGGAGAGTTATGAACTAAAGAATTTGAAGGAAAACTTCTTCTCCATGTGTGTACTTTTATTTTCATCTGCAGAATGTACAACACTTTATTTGAAGAAAACAATGTTGGCTTGATGGCTGAAGGCATTAAATAACAAAATATGAACATTTAAATGTTAGAGCTATGTTTAAATCAGAGCTATGCCATTAACAAGTTAGAGTACATTGTAAAATTGTTTTATTTGAAGAAAAACATTCAAATGCTTCCTTCTTACTCTGCTACCTGGCTGACCTATCATTTTATATGTTTCATGTTTATGTGCTTTACCCCTTTATAGCTTAGGTCATGCAAGAAAAAGAAAAAAGGTGCTCCTTAGCTGAAGAATTATATTAGTAATAATGACATATTTGAAGGGTACAATGAATTACATTGAGGAGAAAATAAATTTCTAGGAATTAAGGGGTTTTTTTGTTCTTTGTTCTATCAATAGGGTGCTGGCCTGATGCCAAAAGCCATGAAATTCTTACCTAAAAATTATGTTGTAGCTTGTAGAGCAGTCAAATTGTAATCTTTTTCTTGAGTTTTGTCTTTTTCTGTGTGGCAGTGGTGAAATAGGGCCTTCTAAACCTCTGGAGAAGTGAGATCTGAATTTGGAGAGGACATGGGGAAGAATCAATCTTCAAGAGATAATCTTTAAGTCCAGACCCAGGAATATCAGATCTGAAGTGACACCATCTTTTCTGTCTTCCTGGCAAACGTCATCAACTCGGTTGATCCAGTTGCAAGGATCCAAGAAAACTCAGTAAAGATCACTTTGGAATCACTTTGTATGACAAAATTGATTCATCGTGACTTCCCTAGTATTTGTGGAAAATCTGCTACAGAAAAGTAACTAGAATATTCACATGACATCAGTGGTTAAAGCTACACTAAAATGAAACTATATGCTAATTATCTTCAAGAGTCCCTTTTAAAATAAAAGGGCTTGCTAGGCTACTATAAATATAAAGAGAGATAATCACATATCCGTGTAAACACATATGTAATTCTAAACTTAAAATAATCTGAATTATAGTTTACATATTGTGAAATATGGTTAGACAATTTTAAAAACTATTCCCAAAAATCTGTAGTTGAGAGTATAAATAAAAATATATGAGTACAGAGGAAAAACATTTAATAATATTTTAACAAGAAGGATAATTTAGTTACTACTCACTGTAATGTAACATTTGCTCTTCCTATTTTTTCACACTATATACCTGTAATAAACCTGATTATTAATATTACTGAAGCTCCTTTTTAAGTCTGTTAACTTGAGGAAAAACAAGTGGTATTACTTCAATACTGGTAGATTTTCACAAATCACAGACAATCCAAAAGAATGCATCTTAAGACACATTATTTTCTTCTGAACTTAGCAATATAACCTAATAAGGCTTAAACATTTATTCTCAGTATTAATGTATAATACCATGCTCCTCAACTTGTAAATTTCAAGATAAAATTCAACTAAGTATCAAATTAAACAATGGTTAACATGTTAAAAATACCTTTCATGGGGAAATGAAATATTTGGTGAAATTTTAACCTGACTTCAAATACTTTGCTCATACACACATTTCTTAACCATGTGCTTATTATAGCCATATTATTTCCTTATTGTGAATATACTTCTAGTTTTATTTTTGGTTAACTGCATACCCAATTCGTTATTATTTCTTGTGTATTATCAACGTGTTACATATTTTCAGAAATGCTTATTTTGTTTCTATGTCTATTCAAGTGTTTTAATAAGGAGTTGCACAAAGAGCTCTAACTTAGAGTATACATAACCGTGTATGTAGAAGTTAAGTCATTTAAAATCTGTACCTATGAGGTAGAATGGTAACTTGAATATTCATTCTAATAATTAGTTTAACAAAGAATCAGAGAAAGTTAATTACTAATGTGATGGTGGGTACAGTGGGGCGAGAAGGGAGAAGAGAAATCCACGAAAGACTTCAAATTCGTATTTTGACTTTAATATTTGAAAGACTTCAACTGCCTTAAGAGAAATAAAATTAAGTTTAGAGTAGTGTTAGATTCCAAAAAAATAAAATCAAACAGACCAACCAAAAACTAGCTAATGTCTTTTGGGAACATGAGAAAGCATGTAGAAATACAGGCTTCTAACATAGGAAACAGGAAAGATGAAAGAATATTATCAATAATTAAAGAGATCAGATCAATATAGCATAGACTCAACAAATAATTTTTGATTGGTGAAATTAGATTTACAAAAGAAATATGGCTTAAATTTTGACTGTACTAAAATACAAATGTAATGAGTTACAGTAATTGCAAGTGATACAAATGCGTTCTATAATGTAATTATTTCCTGCATATTAGTAAAAATGGAGTTATTGGGTTAGACAATTTTTGTTACATTTAAAAATCTATTACTTTTACCCAATAAAATTTCCTCCTCTATGTTCAGAACTTAAACTGTCTGTATATTACTTTTATTTACACTGTATTTTTTTCAACATGGCTCTTTAAAAAAGTGATTTGTCTGAAAAACTATCAACTCCTTCCATTCTCTAAGACTAGAATAATAAAATACCTGATATAGCTAATTATGGTATTCCTGAGCAGTTTAAGAAGTGCACAAAGAAGTAACTAAAATTCTTATTGCCAAATCTTGGTTTATTTCAATATAGAATGACTGGAGAAGTACTGTCTCATGGCAAATACATATAGCAACAAATTAATTAGGTTTCTTCATAATATGAATAGAAATAATTAAAAAAATCCACTGATGTATTATTTAGTTCTTTCACAGGGTTAATTCATTTATCAAAATAACAAACATAATTATTCAGCGAAATAACTTCCTTACCAGTATAATTTATTTTATTTTCAGTTTATGAGTTTAATGTTTTTTTTCTTAAGTGGTTAGCAATGAGTATTCTCTTCATTTGAAGTTAGTCCCAAAAGACAACTGCTATAATTCCACTGAATTTACTAAATATTGAATCTGATTCTACATGTATAAGACTACAGCCTCATTTCTTCGAGATTATTTCAGACTCTTCCACAAGAGTCTATCCTTGAAGTTAGTTAGCACTCTACAAAACTGAAGTAGCTACAGTCTGTCGGCTGTTGTCACAGATTCACTTCTCTTCTGGAATGGAAAAGCCTTTCTTCCAGGTTCAGGTCTCTTAGCCTTCCGTACCAAGCCTGGTAGCATTCTACACCAGGCCACTGTGTACCTACAGTTTAATTACAACTTTTAAAGACTGAGTCTTTCCAAGACTCGAACAAACGGTGAAATTTTTCCTATACTGACAAGTGATTGGAGAAATATTTTGGGTACTTCCAAATAATTATAAAATGGCAGTATCTGCAGAGACCTGAAATAAAATAACTAGTTTGACTCCAGTTTGCTCAGTCTTCAAACTATAGGCTGAAGCTTACTCCACCTTCTTACTTTACCTTCTCAAAACAATCCACAACTTTTATGAAGGTTGTGCCTGGGTATGGATTGAGAGGGTTCCAGAAAATCCATAAATTGTTTTTCCTAGTAATTCCAGAAAGCTTTATTCTTGCCCAGTTATTCTCAGCCCTGACCACCCATATACATAGTTTTAGACCTCATCTTATTCATCTTTGTATCTCTAGCACAAGTATTTTCAGATGTGAATTTTGACCTTTGGTCTCTGCAGTATTTAGTACAGAAATATAAGAGGTAGGCAGAGTACCTTACTCTTATGCAGGAAGAAAATGAAGTTCTTATTTCCAGTTTTTTGGTTAAATAATGTACCTGGGTCACTTTTAAATGTATAACATTGAGCTAGTGAATCACTACTGTGTCCCAGGTACTCCTCTGAGTGCTGGGTATAAATTAGAGGATTTGACTTATGTTAAAGCTTTTTTTTTTTCCCTGTAAGGAAGCTCAGTCTTTGGGCTTTAACTTTGAAATACCCTAGTATTTATAATCTGCCAAACAGATTTCACTTGTTGAAAATCAGTAGTAATTTCTATGTAAGTAGTAGGATTAGTGAACTTTCTTTCAATTAAATGTTAACTGTCAAACTTTAAAATTCAATTGTAAAAGCAGAAGATTTAGAAAAATTACTGATAATCCTTCCATCTAGACAGAGATAACCAATTTTGATGCATTTTTTTCACATCCTACATGTAGAATAAGAAAACACAGACGTCTTGCACCATATTTTTCTACTTAACTATATCAAGAACATTTTCCTGTGTCAATAAAATCATTTAATCAGTTTTTATGGCTGCTGCATCATAATTCACCACAGGAATGTGCTATAATTTATGCAATTTTCTTGGTACTTAAGCCATTTTCCTTTTATTATTATCATAAACCATATACCTGCACGTTCTATTATTTTCTTTGGACGAATCTCACAAAGAGTGATGTTAAATGAAGGCTATGACAATATTTAAAATAAATAAAAAATGTCACATTGCCCTCCAGGAAGATTGTACTAATTTGCATTTACACCACTAGGGTTTGCCTATTTTGCTGCTGCACTGCTAGCAGTGGTGAATATTATTTGATCATAAATTTGCTAATTTGCTAATTTTTAATGGGCTATGTTTTTAATCAATTATGAGTCACAATCATCAAAGAGCAAAGAACAAGTTTTTAAAAGTCAGTACAAACAAGGAACAATATAGAAATTCCAAGAATGGTCTCTATATGATATATAGTCATATATATATATATATATATACACACACACACACACACACATAAAATCAAAGTGTAAATACTATGTTTTTTTGGAAAAGCTTAGGATGCCATTTAAAGAATGAAACATGAAACATCAATTACTAGGTGAAAATTAAGGGCAGAAAAAATATAGTTAATGAAAATGCAGATAAGATTGCTACTGTGGTTTCAGAAAGCTGTGTTAAAGATTAATGTGGTGGTTAAGATAACAAGACTTGTTTGTAATAATTGTGCATAGAGATGGTACATAGTTACCATGCAAAAGGAACCTCTCGCTTCTGAAGCTCTACTTACAATGTGTGTGTGTGAGAATTGGCCCGTTGTTTTTTTACAATCTTGTGTTGCTTGCAAAGTGTGTGAGGGCTGTCTGGATATGAGAGATTGGAAAAGTTTGTATTTCTCACAGTTCTACTTTCGGTGTAGCTGGGACCTTGTCTCTAAATCACATATTATCAGTTTTTCAAAGAATTTGTATTGCTCTCCCGCCCACTAATTCTCCCCATCCACCTTTTCAAAACTACATAAAAGATAAGAATTTCCTAGAATAAAATCAAGAAATGTGTACTCACAATTTAAGGCAGCTTCAATAGAAACTTTTTGGTTTTATCTTTGTTTTCCTAATATTTTCTTTAAAAGATTTCCTAGTTCAAATTTTTAACTTCTTTCATGGAAAAAGAGATGGGAATCGTGGTTAAAACCAGTACTATTTAACTAATGAGATTAACAAATTACTAGCAACTGTGGTTTTTAAAATTGGAAATTGCATACAAAACTAGATAAAAAATTCAAATGTTCATTGGTTGGCTTTACAGGATTCTGTGAACATTACTATATGGTTACAGATAACTTACGTGTTTCTCAGACAAAAACTATGAGGTCTATGAGGACCTCATAGCTGCGGATAAAGCAGTTGAAGCCGAAAATAAGGAAAGCAGTGGAGAGAAGAGGGAGACTAAATCAGGAAGCTTAAAGTGGCAGGACAAGCAGGAAAAATGGAAACCGAGGTACAGAATATTTAAATGCTGGAAGGACGCGTTGCGGCCTCTCCCCCGTCTCCCATTCCAAAGGCCTCCCTGCGCGCGGCGCCCAAAAACGGTCGGCCTCTCCGAGCGCAGTCCCGGGCTCAGGTCCCCGCCCGCCCAGCAGTTGCTAGTGCGCGCTCACAACCACTGAGACGTTGCGAAGCACGCGGAGTTAAATTCCAGAAGGCCGGCCGCCAGTCCCGGGATCTTCAAAGTCGTTTCTTTTTGTCCCTGCCTGGGGAGAGCCGCGCTCACGCCCAGGCCACGCCAGTGCTCAGGCCTCTCCCTTTGAACCGCGCGGGCGGAGAGAAGCCGGCTCTGGCCATGTTTCCTCGGTGAAGCTAACTCAAAACGAATTGCCCCGCCCCTGTGTGCTAGGTCGGTCTGGGCACTTGGTTATTAAGGACTTAGTAACTGAGCTAAGGGCCTCGGTTGGTCCTCTCTAGCGGGGAGGGGGAAGGGCCGGGGGAAAACGGGCAGGACGAAGGTGGGGGGGAACGGGGGGTTGGGGAACGGGCAGGGCGGGGCGGGGATCCTCTTCCGTGTCTCTTGCTCCGCCCACTCCCTCCGCCGCTACACCCCAATCCTTTCCTTTCCCACCCCACTTGGGAGTCCCTGCTGCTCATTGGTAGCATACCCAGCCAATCCAGTAGTCGTTGACAAATCCCGCTTTAGAAAAGGCAAAGATCACGTAGAGGCGTCTACACCTGGCCGGGGGGCGCGAGCCAACGCCCCCAAGTACCCCTTGGCTCTGGACAGACGTGGGCGGGACTAATTTGCATAACGACCGCCTCTCGCCTACTTGAGCCTGCTGGGGTCTCGCTGCTCACCCAACTAGAAATCTGTTGGGCTACGGGCGGGTCACTCTGAGACAGGCAAGCCTGTGGCGGGCGGTCCTGGGTGCGGATTGGCTCTGGGAGTTTCCAGACGGAGGCTATAAAAGTGGGGAGCCGAGCCGGGGAGCTCTCGTTGCGCTTGCGGTGTCGGGGGCAAGGCGACCGTTAGTTAGCGTCGCGGATTTTTCTGTCTTAGGTGTTTCCGTCTAACGCTGCTTGCCTGATTTTCAGTCAGGATGTCTGCCCGCGGCCCGGCTATCGGCATCGACCTGGGCACCACCTACTCGTGCGTGGGGGTCTTCCAGCATGGCAAGGTGGAGATCATCGCCAACGACCAGGGCAACCGCACTACTCCCAGCTACGTGGCCTTCACCGACACCGAACGCCTCATCGGCGACGCCGCCAAGAATCAGGTGGCCATGAACCCCTCCAACACCATCTTCGACGCTAAGAGGCTGATCGGGCGGAAATTCGAGGACGCCACAGTGCAGTCGGACATGAAGCACTGGCCATTCCGGGTGGTGAGCGAGGGAGGGAAGCCCAAAGTGCAGGTGGAGTACAAGGGAGAGATCAAGACCTTCTTCCCGGAGGAGATCTCCTCCATGGTCCTCACTAAGATGAAGGAGATCGCCGAAGCCTATCTGGGGAACAAGGTGCAGAGCGCGGTCATCACCGTCCCGGCCTATTTCAACGACTCGCAGCGCCAGGCTACAAAGGACGCCGGCACCATCACCGGCCTCAACGTGCTGCGTATCATCAACGAGCCCACGGCGGCAGCCATTGCCTACGGCCTGGACAAAAAGGGCAGCGCGGGCGGTGAGAAAAACGTGCTCATCTTTGACCTGGGCGGTGGCACCTTCGACGTGTCCATCCTGACCATCGAGGATGGCATCTTCGAGGTGAAGTCCACCGCCGGCGACACCCACCTGGGCGGCGAGGACTTTGACAACCGCATGGTAAGCCACCTGGCGGAGGAGTTCAAGCGCAAACACAAGAAGGACATTGGACCCAACAAGCGCGCTGTGCGGCGACTGCGCACAGCCTGCGAGCGCGCCAAGCGCACCCTCAGTTCATCCACACAGGCAAGCATCGAAATCGACTCGCTTTACGAGGGCGTGGACTTCTACACATCCATCACCCGCGCCCGCTTCGAGGAGCTCAACGCCGACCTGTTCCGCGGGACCCTAGAGCCGGTGGAGAAGGCGCTGCGCGACGCCAAGCTGGACAAGGGCCAGATCCAGGAAATCGTGCTGGTCGGCGGCTCCACCCGCATTCCCAAGATCCAGAAGCTGCTGCAGGATTTCTTCAACGGCAAGGAGTTGAACAAGAGCATCAACCCTGACGAGGCGGTGGCCTACGGAGCTGCGGTGCAGGCGGCCATCCTCATCGGGGACAAGTCAGAGAACGTGCAGGACCTGCTGCTTCTCGACGTGACCCCATTGTCGCTGGGCATCGAGACGGCTGGCGGCGTCATGACCTCACTCATCAAGAGGAATACCACGATCCCCACTAAGCAGACGCAGACCTTCACCACCTACTCAGACAACCAGAGCAGCGTTCTGGTGCAGGTGTACGAGGGCGAACGGGCCATGACCAAGGACAATAACCTGCTCGGCAAGTTCGATCTAACCGGTATTCCTCCGGCGCCCCGCGGGGTCCCCCAGATAGAAGTCACCTTCGATATTGACGCCAACGGCATCCTCAACGTCACCGCCGCCGACAAGAGCACCGGTAAAGAAAACAAAATCACCATCACTAACGACAAGGGTCGTCTGAGCAAGGACGACATTGACCGGATGGTGCAGGAGGCGGAGCGGTACAAGTCGGAAGATGAGGCCAATCGCGATCGCGTCGCCGCTAAAAACGCCGTAGAGTCCTATACCTACAACATAAAGCAGACCGTGGAAGACGAGAAATTGAGGGGAAAGATTAACGAGCAGGACAAAAACAAGATCCTCGACAAGTGTCAGGAGGTGATCAGCTGGCTCGACCGGAACCAGATGGCAGAGAAAGACGAGTATGAACACAAGCAGAAAGAGCTCGAGACAGTGTGCAACCCCATCATCAGCAAACTTTACCAAGGCGGCCCTGGCGGCGGCGGTGCTTCTGGAGCCTCTGGGGGACCGACCATCGAGGAAGTGGATTAAGTTTGCACTCGGTTCTACGTAAAACTTTTTCCTTTCTCATTTTTTCCCCCTTTCGTTTTTGTTTCTTTGAAATGTACCAAGAACGAGATCTGTTGCTGGAAGTTTTTAGTCCTGTGTATGCCTGTGGAAAGGAAAGGTGCAACAACTTAGTTTAATTATAAAAGGTTAGTTCTGAAGTTTGATTTTTAAAAACATTGCGTTTTCTATTTAAAGCATGTTGCGTGTTTGCTGATTTGAGCATTTTTGGTTAGCTTAGTTTGTGCATGGAAGTTTGTTGGAGATGAGAAACCTGAAGTTTGCACACATGTTCTGTGGAAGCTTGGTAATAAAATATAGAAGCTTGAATTGTTTATTTTTATGTATTACTTTAAGACTAAAGTGAACATTGAAGTAATGTTAAGGGCAGTATACTTTTTGCAAAATACAAATTTAAAGTAAAGCTGAAATTGATCCCCAAATTACTGTCATGGAGTTTTCCATTTTCCCTTCTTACTGTTTTACAGGTGTTGATCTTTAAGTAGGTATATTAGTATCAGATGAAATTTATCTAACTAAATCTTGTCTAATCCTGAGATGAGGTTCCTGCTTTGAATTACCAACAACTTAAGATCTGGGAGAAGATCGGGGTAAACTTTTCCCCCTTTTAATACAGAAACCAGACTGGGGTCTTATAGTGTACACAAACTCTTAAGGCTTGGCTTATGTGGTCAAGTGAAAATCCATCTGAATATTCCAGAAAAATACAAATTGTATTCGGGGTATAAAATGATTCTTTCTGATAGTAGCCTAATGTAGTATAAGGCAAGTAGCTTTCTGTGACATACAGGTGCCTAAAACAAGAGACAGCAAGTAAGTGTTAAAGCCATTTAAAAATTTCAAATTTCGTCAAAGTTGTTTTAACTTTAATTTTCGAGTAAAACACAGCTCAGTTTCTGAGCTTATGGCCAATTCCATTAGAAGATGTTTGTAGCAGTTAAAATTATCTGGGGGTTAAGGGTGGAAAATACAGATTTCTTTTTCTCATTTGACAGTCATAATGCTTTTGCAATACCTGCCTTAAATCACTAGAAAAGATTTCTTTTTTAAAAAAAACTGCAAGATAATCCTGTATTTTGTTAATACACAGCTTGTCCATTTTCCTGTATATCTGATTTGAGATCGTTTCAGATAGATCCACTATCCTGGACTTAACTTTTAAAATACACATCCTTGTATAAGGATAAAGGAGTTCATATTTATTTGTATGTTTTAGTGAAGTTACAGGCTTTGTTCTGATTTATTCTTTAAGGGAAACTTTGGAGAAATTCAGTAAAGCTGATTGGAAAATGCATAGTTAACCTAATGTTTTCACCACACACAGATAATTTTACATCTTTTCCAAGCGATGCAGCATTTCTTCATGTTGTTCACAAGAAAACACTGGAATAGAGAAGCTATGACTTTAATTTAGTAGTGGACCCTTCTGTATCATGCAGAGAGATATAAAACTGAGTTTTTAACTGATATAAAAAACAGTTTTTAACTGATATAAAAACTGAAGAACAAATTAGCCTAAAAACATTGGGCTTTGGTAATGACCCTCTCACACAGAAGCTGAATCGTATGTACATATAGCTTTTTTCCCCCTTTTTTGGCAAGTCTCATTTGTGTGTAGGGGTGTAAGATAAGGCAATTGCTTCAAAATAAGCTTTAAAAATTTTAAAGGTACATGCTGTTTATACTCTGGAAAGCTGAAGATAACTTGGGTTTTTCAGTGCTGGTGCCATGTTGGAAAGTTTTCAGTGAGGAGGTGTTATGGGTGTATCATTGACTATACAGATAGCATCACATAAGTATTTGCCAAATTAGCTTGGTACTAACAGAACCAGGTGAATAGTTAACTGCCTTAGAGTGACATCTAACATGAATTTTTACCGAGATAATACCCATATATTAGCTTTTATTCTTTATTTGTTGAAAGTATCCTCTGTCTTAACTTCAAAATATAATGGAGTCTTTCTGTAAGTGCAATCTGGTACTAGTATGACTCATTTTAGACCTCCCTTTAAAATAGATTGGTTTTTAAAATATCAGAAAAATGAACAGTGGTAGTCTCTTTGATGCTATGGCTTGGCCTCTTATAACTTGCTGTAACACTAGCATCAGTCCATGTAGATACTTAATTTTCAGTTATTTTGAAAACTAATTTGTAAAAGTTCTAGCCTTGTTGAGTGTTTTTAATTTGTGTCTTCTCAAATTTACCTAGATCTGAATATTGTTAAGGCCACAAAAGTAGTCATTTAGTGTTTCCAGGGGTCACCAAAACTGGTAACCTGATAACTGCTGAGAATTCCATAGCAGATGTTAGATCAGCCACAGTCAAATGACAATGGAAAAATGTACTTGATGTTAGGAGGAGGCTAAATTACAGTTTAAATAGCATTACTTGAACTTAAAAGTAGTGTTACATTAGGGACTAGTGGTCATACTAAAGGCAATACAATGTAGAATGCTAAAAGATTGAAAAAGTACATTTCTCATAAAGGGTACTTAATTCTTCTTTCCTGAATGATAAACGTATTTGTCCCTGTTTTGAGGCAATAAATCTAAACACCTGTTAAAATAAGACAGAGCAGGTTGTTTATTGTGAGATAATGTGAAATTTAAAACAGGCTTACTCTAAATTTTTTGTAGTATTATAAATATAATGGAAATTCATTAAAATGACTTGTACATTAGGATATATTAATATTATTTATATCTTTAAACTTAGCATGTATAATAGGATATTTAATGTATCACTGATCCAATATGTCAGGAGACTTAATGAGAATTTCTTTATCCTTTGTATAATCTTAAATAAGATTTCAAAGATGAAATCAAAAGATCTCTTCTCATGAAACTCAAGTATTGGAACCATGATAAAGCACTCACCTACTTTAAATTGAACGTGGTTTATGAAAGTTGTGAGGCATGTTCCCTTTGCTTTTTGAACACTGCAATTGAAATTTTAAAGAATCTCAAATCTATATATCACAATTGCCAAGGAAATACATGGTTAAGAAACAACAGGAATGTTCAAATGCTTCTGTATACTTAATGTATAAATAAGTATGAGAAAACTGTTTTGGGGAATTACCCTTAAGCATTAAATTAGATGCAGAATTTTATTCCTTGACGAATAAATATGTATCTTTAGAAGAAGAGTCCACTATTTATTCTTGATATAACTCTTGGAATGGAGTTCTTTTAGGGTATATGCATTTCTGAAATTTAATAGGGTAACACTTAATGTTGAAATGTCTTTGCCTTAGAACAAATCAAGAAACCATTGGCTCTTTCCTCCACCCCTTTCAAAATAGATTAGGTTGTGAATTGGTGATTAAGGGAATAAACAACCAAAAATGGAGTTGCTAATTCAAATATTGGCATTGCCATTTTCTTCCATGTTCATTTTAAAAGTAGAATTATGACACTTTGAACATCTGTTATGAGTTTCAACTTGAACATCTGCAAGTTTCCCTGCATGTCATAGTATAAGCATGCATTATATTCAGTCTAAGACCTGAGAACCAGCAAAATAGTACTCTATTATATGCTCTTAGGCAAAACAAAACAAAAAATCTTTCCTCATAAGACACTTGGAATTATTAAATATTTAGGTGATATCTTTATCCCTACTTTATAACATTGAGTTATTTTTTTTCTAAAGGGAAATTGTATTTCCATTTTAGGTTGTGAGTTTCTAATGTCATTAAAAAATAATTGGTAAAAAACAACCTAAGAAAAGAATGGATCACTTTGTAAATAATGATTTAGAGCCATAAAAACAATCTTTTATTCCCTCTTTTGTTAGGGTCTGGTAATACAGATGTATAAGGTGGGCCCTAAAGAGTTACTGAAGTTTTCCTTTAAATATTATGTCCTTCTAGCACACATGAAATAACTTGTGTAACTTTTATGCAGGCCATTGCTTTAGATTCTCAACTTCTATTTTTACCATAGTTTTTCTTTTTTGATACATTAGACAGCCTGAAGTTTAACTATGTTAAGGTATAAAGGATCTTGGTTTTCTATTAGCATTTCTTCACTCACTGGGGTACAGTGAAGAGACTGAGTGTGGTCTTCCTGATAGTGGTTGTGAGTGAATAGATTCCATTCAGAGTCCTTGGTCTTTCTCAGGCCTTCCTGGAGCTCTCAATGTTTCTCCCTGTCCTCCCCAATCCAAGTTATGTACACTGCTTAGTGAAAAACTCTTGGTGACTGGAATATATTTTTACTCCTTTTCAAGTGAATCATCTTGTAATAAACCAGCCTTGAGGCCACAGCCTCAGAGCAGCACTGCCAATTTCCATATACCTGAGCCAAACAATAGCTACCAGCAGTGGACTCTGGTGAGCAGAACATAAATAGGTGATTACACTTTTTGCCACTGTAACCAGTGATTGTTAGCAAATAGACTGGGAGGGTGGGGGTAGGGGGAAGCAGTGGGATGTCTGTTGCCACGTTTTTTAAGTTTATGGAAATACACATTTACTAACTTTACTGAGTACCTCAACTCTAAGCTGTGGGGATAAAGCAAAAGCAAAACATCTTAGGCATTCCCTCGTGTAGTGTCATCTAACGTTGTTTACATCAGTATTGGAAGAGAAATGTCAACCAGAATTTGCCTATCAACTCAGCTGCAAGAAGAAATTACAAGACACATGATTTGAAAAATAAAAAGTGTAAATGTAAAATATGAGTTGAGTACTCACAAGCAAGTAGTTCTTTTAGCAACACTAATTTTGCTTACTAAGGGTCTTGCTTTGTACACATTACTCCTTAAAAATCCTTAGAATCCTTGATTTGGGTATCTTCAGACGCAGGATCAATATTGTCCTGTCCTAGCTTTCGAAAACCTGATTTCCACGTTTGAACTCCCCCCAAATCAACTTAGTCCCAAACTGGATTTGAACCTAATTCAGGACCGTTAAAAGTTTAGAACAAAGGATCTTCCCTACAGACATGAATCTAGTTATTCCACTTAAAACAGTAGTGGTTTACTTTCCAATTGGAAGATAATGAAGAATTGACCCCTAAAGAAAGAACCCCTGGGCAGCTTTACTGTGTACATGCCAATAAGCCACCAGGGCAAAGCTCGTTACAGGGTGCACCGGCAACGCCAGAGCCGGGGTGCCCGCGGTCCAGGGCCCGCCCACCAGCGCAGCGGGGTCCACGCCCCTCGCCCGCCCCCTGTCCGCTGTTTCCAGACGCCCGCCGGCGGTTGCCTCGGCGACGCCCCCGAGGCGCGCTGCGTGAGGCCATGTATCAGGTGCCGGATTTTTGTTCCGGGAGGAGGCGGTTGAACTTGCAGACAGCTTCCCTGCAGGATGTAAGTGCAGCCCTGGTCGCGTCCACTCCGGCGGCCGGCGGAAGGCCGGCCCTGAGGCCCCCGCCCTGCCGGGGCGCCCCAGAAGGCTGGGTGGCGGGGCCGGGACGCCCTCGTTTCCTCTGCGGCGGCGCTGCCCTCCTCCTCTGGCTGGTCGCCGCCCAGCGCCCGCGCGAGCGCTGCTCAAAAGGAAGCGAGCATATTCCGACACCACCCCCCGCCCACCCCTGGAACTCCGGAGGTGTATCCTGCTGGCGATCGCAGTTGAATCTGGCTCTCTTCTCAGATACTTAGGAAGTTATTAAAGTTCTACCTCCCCACTCCTAATAGGTTGTTTGCAAAATAAAAAGTCTCCCTGCGGAAGAAGCAAGCTTTCCTGCTCTGGGTGCGATCCCGGGAGACGATAGGCCGGTGAGTTGGTAGCTGTCACTGCTTGAAAAGGGTAAACAACTTGTTCTTAGAGATTTCCTCTAACGGGCGGGGTCGGTGTCAGAGCAGGCTTCCCCGGTTATGAATGTCTAATTGCTCCAAAAGGTTGAGGCTGCTCCCCAGGGCATCAGTTCATTGTAGCCCGAGTCCCAGTCAGTCGGCAAACTGCTATGGTGGGCTTTGTGATAGTGCAGACTAAGTGAAGTTTCCTTCTTTCTTCCTCTACCTTCCCTTCCTTCCTTTCTACCGAAACTACACCTACAAGCAACCAAAAGGATAAAGTCGTTGTTTCAAGTAAAAAAAAAAAAGACACTTTAAGATTCTACATATTTATTCAATTGAGTTAAAGAGCACCTAGTGGGAATTATTGTTAAAAGTTCATTGTGACCTATGGATTGAAAATAGAAGTTTTAATTTCTGCTGCATTTCATTTTACAGCAGTTGGGATTACGATTAGGGACCTGGTACTGGAAAGATGAAAGCAGAACTCTTGAATTCAGAAGGTAAAATTTAACAAAACTTTTTATAACTTTTGCAAAAATTGCATTTGCTCAGTGTAAAAAAAAAATTCAAGCAATACAGAAGAATATAAAGAATAAGATGAATATCTGCTGAAATCCCACCATCAAGAGATGGGTATCTAAAGATACCCATTTTAGTAAGCAGATGCCACTTTCTGATAACATTTATCAGCTACTTTCCATGTACCAGACACTGTTTACCAACCCTTGGTAAAGCTGCATATTAAACCAGTTTCACAAATGAAGGTTCTGATATCAAATAGTTAAGCAGTCTAAGGAAAATTAAGTGACTTGGGTAAATCACACAGTTTAGAAGTGACAACGATGACTTAAATCTAGGTCTGTTCAGCTCAGAGTCCATATTCTTAGCTACTTTATAAAATTGCCTATTTGAGTTAATAGAAATATATTTTTACTTTTGTAGGACCATATTATATCTACTGCAATACATGGTAAATTCTACAAGGTAAAGTTATTAGAAAAAACTAATCTCCGTTGAGAAAATACTGGCTCTTAAGAGTATCCAGCTGAACTAATAATACTAGCTGCTATCTGCTGTGCACCTATTATGTGCCAGACATTTGCATATTTTCTTATTCTTACAATAGCCATAGAAAGTGAGCATTAATATCCCCATTTTACAGATGAAGAAACAGGGCTCAGGGAGATTAATTGAACCAAAGTCATTTAGCCTATATATGACTATATGTTATATAGCAGAACTGACATTTTGGACCAAGATTTGTCTGGTGCCAAAGCCCTTTCCACCATGTAAACTGTCTCCCTCAACTAGACCACAGGCCCCTCATGGGCAGGGACTATCTCACTCATCCTTGTGTGCCTGGAGCCATCTATAGAACTTCACAGAGTAGGCCTTCACCAAATGTTTATTGAGCATGTTCAGTAAACCAACTAGATTCAAGCAGAGGAGGACTAGAGGCAGGAGATCAATTAGAGGGCAAGTTGTAGGAGGATTACAGATAGGCATACAGGTAAGAAACAGTAAGAGTCGAAACAAAGTCTGTTGGTGGGAACAGAGAGGCGAGTGCAGGACTCAAATACTTGAGATGGAGTTGACAGGAATGTTTGGCAGAGTTGATAGAATGTGGTGCCTGGATGTGAAGAGAGAGGGAGAAGTAGGTGTTTAGGTGATTCCTAGGTGTCTGGCTTGGGTGATTGGGCGGCTCAAGTTTGTTTGGGGAGAAAGAGGAGATAGAATGAAGAGAAAGAAGATAGGAATGGGATTAAGAGCACACAGATCAGCTTGGAAAAGATAGGAAGAGCTTTCCCGCTGAGCACCGTGGAAAAGAGGTAATACAGACAGGAAAACGTGGGCAGTTTGAAGGTACAAGGAGGGATATCATTGCTGCACTTCTTACTGAAAACAAACCAGGCCCTTCCGGGCCACTGCTGGGAGGAGAATCAGTGCTACTGACTTGAACTCTTCGCTGAGGTTGCTGCTGTGCTTGAGGCTTACTCATCAGTACCTGCTGCCACTGCCACACTGGAGAACTGTGTCCTCCCAAGTACCTGAGCCAGTATCCAAATGGGGCCATTTCCTGAAGTCCAGGGGGCAGGAGAGACAGGGAAGGCTTCCCAGAGAGGCAATATCCAAGCCAAGACTGAGGAGGAGTACGAGTTGGCAAAGCAAAGGGAGATTTGGTTGGGGTGAAGAGCACGTTCTAGGCAGAAGGAACAGCATGCACAGAGGCCCATCCCAAGAGGGCATGGGACATACGTGAGACTGCATGGAGTTCAGTAGTAGAATTCCAAGTGGATGTTAAAAGATGAATAGAAGATTTAAACCAGGGCAAGATCATGAAAGGTCTTGGTTATCATGCTGAGGAATTTGAACTTTATTCAGAGGGCACAGGGAAGTCATTGAAAGGTTTTGAGCAGGAAAGTAAACAGTGATTAGAACTGTATCTTAGAAAACTGACTCTGGCTCCAGTGTGGAGAATAGTTTGGAGGGTTGTAAGACTGGAGGCAGGGAGATCAGTTAAGAAGCATTTGCAGAAATTCAATTGATGCATGATGGTTAAAACTAAGATATGCAATGGGAAGAGAGGGAAGTAGACAACTTCAAGATATATTAAATAATTAAGTGGTTAGTGGGCTGTGAGGGCTAAGGGTGACTGAGGAATCAAGGATGACACCATTTTCTGGCTTAAACAGCCGGTGGGTGGTGGTACCCATTTGCTGAGATGGGGGAAAATAGGCGGAGGGAATACAGGTTAAAGGGCAATGCGTTCAGTTTTGAACATACTGAGTGTGAGGTGTCTGCAGGAGGCCCAAGCAAAGATGTCCAGTAGGCAGAAATATCAGTTCACAGGTCTGCGGAAAGATCTGAATCTTAAGTATAAATTTGTGAGTTACCAATTTAGTGGAGATACCATTTATTTAAGAACAGTAAGAACAGTAACCAGATGAAACTTTGAGAAAGGCCCTTACTTAGGAAACATGCTGAGGAAAAGGAGCTTTAGAAGGGGACTAAGAGAGAGCCGCCAGAAATGGGGGGAGGGGATATTTGGAGTGTCATGAATCCAGATAATTTGCTTTGCAAAGTAACAGCTTGATCTTAGGGGCCTTCAATTATTATCCCACCAATTTTAGACCCTGGAAGTCTCTGCCAGGGTTTTAGTCTTCTTCCACATGGGGTATGCCACTTTTTACACCCACTGACCAACAGGACTTTGCAGACTTCTACGTATTCTCAAGTTCAGGTCAAGAGCAAATGATCCCTTTCCTCTCACCCACCTTGTAATTCTGGCATCCTTCTTGGATGAATGGCATTGGGAATCTTACCTTTCAGAGGAATCTTACCCTGTTCACAGGCAGGTCTTGCCTTTTGCAGATTTATCCTGAGGGAGATCATTATATCAGAATACAACAGGCTATCCACAACCTGCATGCAGGAAATGGACACAATAGCAAACAGGGGAAGGTTGGTCATTATTTCTTAATAGGCAATTAAGGAAGAGACAGTGAAGAATGGTTTTGGAGGAAGACCTGGGTTCAAATCCTAGCTCTGTCACTTACTAAGTAGTTACCATTTGTCAAGTTTCTTGGCCTAACTGATTAGCAATTCTCTTATCTATAAAATGAAATGATAATGCTTTGTGAGTAGTAAATGAGGGTGTTGCATGATTCATTACCATGCATGCCCATTTCTTTCTTATTTGTTATAGAGGGAGTATCTTTATTCACAGGCCACATTTGGGCTGCCCCATGACATATGATTTTCTCTGATACAGTATCAGTGTAGTCCTATCCCTTCTTGTTTCAAGAGCCCCTACTCTCAGCTGGGAGAGAGCCAGTAGCCTGTACAAGTGTTTACCAAGGTCACTGGCTGCCCTAAGGACATACAACTGAGGAAATGCTACACCTCCAGAAGCCCTGGACTTCTGTTGTCTTTCATCATGGCCTAACAGAAGTCTCTAAGAACTACTGAAGAGCTGACTTGTATAGAAGCCAAGAGTGGTCCAGCCCTCAGCATTTTAGTTATGGATTCTAGGGGAAAATTTTTTTTCTCATTTATTTCAAGGCAAAGATAAGTGACATGATTATATTGTAATATTAGGAAAGCACACTGAGAAATGGCATCTGTAAATGAACCAGGTTCTAAGTGGGCTGCCAAACTGTGGGGCAGACTGTGGAGACTGGAGGAGGGTACAGATCTAGCTCAGAGTGTGTTTTGGGAGCCCACCAGAGGTGCAATTCAAAAGACAATTTTTCATTTATTACTAGTGATGCTTAAGTGATTCCAAATGTACTGTGTGTGTAGGCTGCCTTTAGAGTTATGGCAGGGCGCTCACAAAGATAAATCCACCTCATCAGCCAACGAGGAGAATGACTCCAGCTACATGAAAAGCACTTAGGCAAGTGTGGAGTAGGAAACGCATGTCCGGGATCAGAGGAGAAAGACTTGAGGTTTAGCAGTAAATGCCAGACTACTAGCTAAGGACAGGGAGTGCCTGCCACAAATTTCAAATCCTGAACATGGGTCAGCCTCTCTGAGCCTTAGTGCTCCATCAGTAAAGTGACAGCCATGTACTAGATGAACTTTTGATATCCTCTCACCCAGAAATTATGTGATTTTTATGATTCTAATTTTATTTAACTTAGTTCATAGACCTGATCTACAAGATACTCCCAATGTAGCCTTTCAAATTTCTTATTTTAAGACTCATCTCAGATCATCTCAAGCAAACTGGTAGGACAAGAAATTTTGATTTATAGGGATGGGACTGAGGATAGGAGATAGCAATTTCATTTGAAATTAACTTAGATTGGGTATTTTCTATCTTCTCTCATCTTCTGGAGAAGAGAAACCCTGGGGAGAGCTGGTCACCTGAGACTTCCCTAGTCTGATAGGAAAGGAACAGCTGATGGTTTGTAAATGGCCAAAACACTGTGATGATCCAAGGAAAAACCTGAAAGCAACTTTGTGTTCTTGTTTAGATTATATTAAGGCAGGAGGGACTTAATCTGTACATTAGATAGTTAGCAAGCAGAGCAAGCTTTAAAGAGCCATTAGAAAATGTTTGAATGTTTGGGGGTTTGAGTTAAAGGCTCTCTAAATGGTCTGTCGGTAGATTGTGTTGACCACATAGTGTTTCTTCCTCTATATCTTTATCAACATTGTTTTAGTTAGTCAGAAATACAAATCAATATATTCCTGTTATAAAGAAAATCAAAGAATACGGAAGTATGCAAATGTGGAAGATTAATTTCTTCCTCACCATCCCACCTCTTTGCCTATCTGACCCCCCATCTCTTTTTGGAGATAGCCATCATCAACATTTGGTGTGCTCCCATTTTTTTTCTCCTGCTCATTCCCTTCTCAGTATTTCAGCACACTCTCCCCATGAAATAGCCACTCCTTGGAAACCAATGATAAAAGGAGCATCGGAAAGAATGAAAAACAGAAATCACCCACTAGCCAACTTGATGTCAGTGGTCTTTAAAAAATAAAGATAGAAAAATATTAAAAAGTCATTCCCTTGAGGAGAGATTCTGTACATACTTTTGCTAATATATTCTACAACCCAGACTTTGCCAGGAGATTAGGAAAAGCTCCTGGAAGAAGAAAGTACCAAACTGATTAACTTTACTATTCCCATGGGGAGGCATTTGTCTAAAATGATTACTTTGTGGGCAACATCAATCCCAGAAAATTGTCAAAGGAAGTTGTTTCAAAACTGTTGTGTTGACATTGGAGGTAATGAGGTTATACATGATTGATATTCCTCTTGATAGAATGACTAAAGTGTCGGGGAAAGTGCTTCTGTTAGTACATCTATACTTATGCTTAACAGAGAGACATGTAACTGTGGGCAGAGATTAAGCTTTTGGGTCATGTTATCAACATGGCATTGCTTCAGACAGAAAAATAAAAAGACATAACCCACACTGGACTACCAAACCAAGGTATTTAGTATACAGCACAGTTCTCCCGGAAAATGTACTCTTTCTCAGGCAGGAACTACATTCTGCTGGTTTTCAAAAATGCTTTTCTCAGTTTTTCTGTTAAACATTTGCTGATACTCCTGAGAGTCTGTGTACTGACTCTACGCAGACACCACCTTATTTTTGCTGTCATAGCAATGCGTGACATAGAGTATAGCCCCAGTCTATATTTGTTTGTTGCTTAATTATGGTCCCTTGTTAGGCCCATTATTACTTAGTAGTGTTTGTAGGACTATAGAGTTTAAGAAACCTTGAGTTATGCAAAGGGTCCTGAAACCTTCTAAAGATAGTCAAGGCCAGTAGAAGAAGCCATAGCAGTGACAACTGAGATGGCTGCTTGGGAGGCAAGATTGCCTAGTGTTTAAAACCTGGCCCCAGTTCTGACTTTGGCACCTGCTAAGTAATCTTGGTCAGATTACTTTATTTCTCTCTAAGCTTCAGTTTTTCTCACATGTAAACAAGGCAATACTAGTAATATTTTCCTCATAGAGTTGCTGTGAGGATTAATTAAGATCGTACTTAAAAGCACTTGGCACATAACAAATGCCCAATAAATCAAAAAGTCCTTCCAAACTGATCATGAGCTTTCTGTTTCTTGTGGTGAAGTGACCGCAGCATTTTCAGATGGAAATGTTTTGCATATGGTGGTGTTTTGGAAGCTGCTGATATGTAGAGGCTGAATATAAAGTCTGAAATTTTAATCTTTTTCTGGATGATTGATCCATTTATAAATACATTAATTAAGTACTGCAGTGCCTCAGTTTCTTTTCAAGCTCCACTCATAATCATGAGCTAAGGTGCTGATATGACTAGTTTTCCCCTAGGAAAAAGGGAAGTTCCTAATTTTCTCATTTCTGTTACAGTTTTACACCTGCAGTGGAACTCAGGGAAAAAGGAAAGAAAGGCAAAGCAGTCCACTTTGCTGAAATTGATGGTCCAGCTTCAGACAGGTATCTTAACTTCCCAACTGTCACAGCGTTGCTAACAGCACCTCTCAGCAGAAGCCTTTCCAAACACTCAGATAATATCATTCCCATTATCTAGGTTGAAATGAAAATACCCATCAAGGAAAGGATATGCACTATTCACAGTTATGGTGGGAGTACAGTAGTCCCTATAAATGTATCCCTATGATAATTTGGCTATTAACAAATCTGAACATGGTAGCTACCCCGTAAATAAGGGATTTAAATGATCTATTTTGTACGGAGTTAGTATTTATATTTTATGTTATGTGGTGTGCATTCCTTCTACTCCTGGCATAGTAAGGATAATATTGCTAAAATGCATTCTTAAATAATCCTGCATTAAACAAAACCCATTTATGATAGTTAGGCTCTCATTTGTAGTAAGAGCCTCATGCACCTCCGCATAGAGTTACAAGTGATACCTTTCAAAGCTCTACTAGAGACTGTTATATTCCAAAACAGGTCGACAGATAAAAGGTTTGCTTCAAAAGATGATAAGTCACCTAAAGCCTTAGAGAAACGAGGTCAGCAGGGCAACGTCACACTGCATGATGCTAAATGTGAGTGACTATCCCATCATCTTTACGTATCTTATTGGTGTGAACCTCTGAGGCAGCTCTTTGTCTTTCTTTCAATTGTCCATCTTCTCTCCTTTCAGTTGTTGCTTTGCTTTTACTACAAGATACTGAGATGCAGCGGATCTGTTCTTTTACAACATTCATGAGGTATGTAATGCGTGAGAGACATTTTAGATCTTTGATCCCTTGTTTTGAAGTAATTCCATCTGATAAGTGATGACTAATCTGATTTTGGAGAAAGGGCATGGGGCTGGCTCTCTGCAAACCACCCTCTCAGGACTCATTCTCAAAGACTGAGACTAAAGAGAGGAAGCCAGAAGTCATGGGAGCACAAGATAAAGTTCCAGGCCAAGGAGTATGGCAGGCACATTGCCAGAGTCCCATAAAAACTGTACTATATTTATACAATAGTTAAAGGGTATACTCATTTACTGAAGATCAGTTTTCTCCACTAGTATGTTTGGCACCCCCAACAAATACTATGTGTGTGACACTATGTGAGCTTCTGGGCTTTTCTAAGCATCACTTTCCTCAGATAAAAAATTGGAAGTTGTAGTGTCTCCAATATGTCTGAACATGAAAGGTGCTTCACGAGGCGCCTGAGCTAATGGATGCTCAGTGAGAGCTGGGCACCCAGCGCTATTGGCAGCCCTCCCAAATTCCCTCAGCGGTCTGTGAAGGCTGCTTATGGCAAACACCTGAGATTCTGTGCCTGAAGCTTTATTCTGCGGCAGGAGCACAGTCACCCGATTACAGGGCAAGCTAGGAGCACTAGGGTGTCAGTGACCCAGAAGCAGCCTCTAATGAGTGGTATGCCAGAGGGGCAGTTGGTAGGCAAGTGTCCTGCCTTCCATCTGTCAGGATAATACCTAGAAGTTTCCTACATTGTCTCCTAGAGTCTTCCATGGGACTGAATTATATTTGTC